TGGTTACTGCTGTCGTTTTTTGCATATGTGACAAATTGATTAAAAAACGGCAGCAGTAACCACTCCATATTATATCTATACAAAAGAGAATGTGCCCATAATTGTGCAAACACACCACAACGAGGTCCCAAGTACATCTCACCTCCTACGAGATCCGATTTCAACCAGTTAATCCCAGCCACATTAGCAGCTTTAAAATCCTGCCAGACTGCCCCCACGTACCAGCAAATGGAGTTAGAAGTCATCACAATACTTGCTACAACATTGCAACTTCCGTAGAAGTCATCATGAAACTTGCGACTATTTGGTGCATCAGAGCAAATCTCTGATGCACCAAATAGTCGCAAAAACCACCAGGCAGTAACGAAATTCCTTGCCAAGAACAATCTGAGGCTCTTACAAGGGAACTGTCGGAGTGTCATCTAATAAATTTTAATAAAATTTAGTTAATAACTACGTTAAAAGTATACAAACTCTATTTTAAATTTGTAGTATTCACTAAAAGTGTTGATCAGAGTTATTAGCAATCAAACGTTGCACTACTTTATAGTAGTTTAACACAATTATGCAAATTTTTAGAAGTGAAAGGGTCGCAGAGGAAGACGGCGATATTATATTTAGAATAAATTCTGGAATTTTCGAAAATGGGAGAAGAATTAATAACATTTAGTTAATAATTATGTTAAAAGTATACAAAATTTTATTAATTCTTCAACCATNACCAAAACATATAAGTACTAGAGAATGCCATCAGTATCACTAGTCAACACCATTTACAGACCCAGAAGAATGCCAACATGGGGTGAAATAGTCAATGCAGCTAATGTCCAACCACCCTGCCAGAGAGTGGGCAAGCAAGGAAGAATTCATAAACAAAAAAGTATATAAGAAACATATGCACTAAAAGAGAGTAATAGTCCAAAAAGTTTGGGAAACACTGATTTAGATTGTTTTAGTATTATTCATAAGTATTTTTTATATAAATATTCGTATTTTAATCTTTACTAGTTACTGCTTTGCAAGTGAAAACTTACAAAACAATAAATACAAAAGATTAAAATATGAAGAAAATAAATTCTATGGCTTGCCATTTGAAATTAAATTACAAATAAAGTTTTTAGATTATATTTAAAAATAGATAATATTCAAAAATAACCTTCAAAAAACTGGACAGATATTCAAAAGTAACATTTACCAATACCAAAATTAATGTTTCATTTGTATATAATGAACATCTTCAGTTTTAATTCCACAAAACAGAACAGTAAAATTAAATTAAATATTTAGGATTACCAGAATGTTTTAATAAAATAAGCAAAAAAAAAAAAAAAAAAAAACATAAAAGGTTAAATGCATAAAAATATACACCAAAAAGCATCACATTATAAAGGGCAGATAGGGACTAAGAATTTGTGTGTTTTTAACTTTTCTTTTATAAAGAACTTCCATGCTGAAGCTAAACCATCAGCATCTCTTGCATTGATACAGACGTCCCTTTTGAATTTATAATGATCAAACATTCCATTTTAACACAATTTTCAAATTCGCTCAGTAGCCAGTCATCTGATGATGGACTATACCATTAGGCTGAAAACATTTGTGATTTAATAAATATTCTCAGCGTTATAAGGTGTTAAATGTTTTATTAAGTATTCATATTTACATTTTCATATTTTTACCATTATTATTANAGATTAAATGCATAAAAATATACACCAAAAAGCATCACATTATAAAGGGCAGATAGGGACTAAGAATTTGTGTGTTTTTAACTTTTCTTTTATAAAGAACTTCCATGCTGAAGCTAAACCATCAGCATCTCTTGCATTGATACAGACGTCCCTTTTGAATTTATAATGATCAAACATTCCATTTTAACACAATTTTCAAATTCGCTCAGTAGCCAGTCATCTGATGATGGACTATACCATTAGGCTGAAAACATTTGTGATTTAATAAATATTCTCAGCGTTATAAGGTGTTAAATGTTTTATTAAGTATTCATATTTACATTTTCATATTTTTACCATTATTATTAAATTAACAAAAATTTTCTTCTTCACTTGATAAAGAAACAATTTTCCTCTCACTTCTATTACTAACTTCGTGGATCAAAAATATTAATTATCTTGTCTGAATAGAATCTGTTATCAAAGCTTTTGATATTTATGTAATTTTTTAATAAATTTTCTGATATCAAGCTAATTTTGATGTATTCGGTTCAAAGTTGTAACACAGTAAAAAGGGGAAAATCCATCTCTTTAAATGCGTAAGTTGAAAGTAGAAGAAATATGATTACATCATCCCAACAGTTAGCATTGCCTTAAACATTAATTTTATCAATAAAAATACTTAATTTTAACATAAAATACTAAAGAATATTGTAAGTATTGTGTTAAACTGAAACTATCATAAAACAAAATTTTATTGCATTTTCCTGATCCTGTTTAAACCAAAATTATGCAATTCAAGTGCTGTGTACATCAAGGATTAAGTATTGCATATACCTAGAAATTGTAAAATACTCATATATTGTTAACATTTAAAATAATTACTTTATGATTTATATATATATTAGCAATATACATGAAAATTATATTAAGGAGTTGAAACAACTTATTAATTATAGTTTGTTAGTAGGGTAAAGGATATTTATTGGCCACCAGACAATAATTAATTATTTCAAATTTAAATCTCTTTAATAAGAGCTCTATAAAAGCTATTCTAGAAATATTGCATGGTAGTATTAATGCAAGTTTCTGCTGTTAGTAAGTAGCTAAAAATCCTGCAAGGTTTACTGTCATTGCATTTGGCCAATAACTATACAATTTTGCATTTTAAAAAAACAACAAAGTATATTTTGGATTAAAAAACTGGCATTTGTAATTCATAGATAATAGCAATAGAAAGGCTATAAAAATTAATTCATCAGTAAGTACTGTATAATATTTCCTGATTTAATTTTTTTGTCAGAATTTTTAAAATAAAAATTTCCTTAACTGGCCAATAACTGTACCATATATCCTATTGCTTAATATGTGCAGCTATCTGCTTTCTCAAAGATCAAGATGCAAATTTTTTTGTTAAAACACTTTTTTCATTAAAAAAGATTGATGTACACATTTAGAGAATTTGGTGAAATTTGTGTTGATATTGCTTAATATATAAATTTGATTTCTATAAATAAATTTTAAAATTTATAAGTATGGTTATTTAAAGATAATTTACTCTTCCTGAAAAGTCAGTAGTACTGTACATAATGAAATGACAATTAGTACAGAAAATTTTAGTAAAATGATAAATTTCATTAACATTAAATTTTTCTAATACAATATTAATCAAACATGGAAGATTTAATTGTAATTTACATATAGTTAAATAAATCAACAATAAAAATTCAGTCAGTTTCAAATATCTGATAAATAATACACTTGATCACACCTGATAAATAATACATTTTTACACATAAATAGAACACATGCTTAATCAGAAAACTATAAATACATATATTAACTCTATAACCTTATTAAATAAATGTATTTTTTCTGTTCCTAATAATTTTTCATTTCTTTGAAAGAAAAAATAAAAATGTGATCTTACTTAATTTGAGGAAGAATATTCCAAATTTTTAGCAAGAAATTCAATTCAGTTACTTTGATTAATTTACTTTAATTTCAAAAAAATCATTGTTTACTCTTTACAAGTTAACTTACTATCACATGAACCATATTACATAATTTTTCTGTTCATTATTTGTTCAGTTTAATTTTTAAATATGCAAAGAAAAAAAAACAAATTGCAAATAAAATATCTTTAGTTAAGCAAAAAAAAAAAAATATTAAGATCACATTCCAACCAACCAAAACTTATTTAACTATTATTAAAAAATATAAATTTTGAGAATTATCTATACTATAATAAAAGGTAAAAGTTTACTATTAATTCATTACATGTTTATTTCTTAATTTCACACTAGCAGACATGTCCTAAAACAGATAAAAATATTTGGGGGCAATGCATAAAAAAATAAAGTATTTTTTAAATAAATTTTTTAAAGTCTCTCTACATTAAAATTTGAATTTAATATAAATATTAAGTAAAATTTTATAATTAATACAAACCATACAACTGAACAATTTAATTCCTACATAATTTAGTTCAGTATAAATGTTAACAAGCATAAACATTACCATAAACTGTAATAACTGCTAAGCATGTGTCATTAGAGCAGTAGGTCAACACTTACGTCTGAACTGTTTATCACAAATTTCAGCAATTAAAACTGTACTTCATAACCTTCATTTATCATTAAATATATTCGATATTTATTTAACTTACAGCAATGCTTTAAGCACTTACCAATGTACAGATTACGTTTAAGATACAAGATTATCCTCCAATTCATTAATTATTTATCTTTAATGTGTATATACATATACATAAAACTTTAATTAATTTCCTTATATGGCATAGTTATAAAGTGATGTAGCATAGCTTTTTATATCATTTTTAATTTAAATGTTAACATTAATTACAGATTTCCTGATAAAAACACTTTAATATTTATACCAACCATTAGGCTTAGAATTCCATCTTTTCTTTCTTTTATACGGCTTAAGAAACAAACTGACGTTAAAAATACATTATCTTAATTACGAAATGACGTCTAAATGAATTCATATTTCTATTTTATCTTTACATAACGTTATCCTTTACGATTTTCTTTTACAGCTACTACTCACTAAACATCGTCTGGCCACCAACAATGTTCGAAACTGCGCGACCTAGCGGCGTGAAATTAAAACCTGGTTTTTTCGTAGAATTAAATACAAAGAGACGATTGAATTGAATAAAATAACGAGCTTTTCATTGTAAAGGGGGGAAAGCTTTTTTTAAACTCGTTGATTGTTTAAATAATATTAATTGCTACGTTTCAAGTATTGAAAAGTTTATTTTGATTTTATTATTATTATTTTTTTCCTGATTAATTAAAAGCCACCTGCCGGTTAGTAAGTGTACTAATATGTGAAATGTCCACGTTGGTCGTTTGATAAAGAAAACTGATAATTATTTCTTTTGGATTAACCCTTCGTTTAAAAAGTAAGAATGTTCGTTTATTTATGAATTTTAGATTGATACGTTTATGATTTTAAGTTATTTTGATTTCTTCCATTTCTATTTGTATGAAACAGTTCATATATAAATGAATATGGAATCATATTCACATTCCTGCATTTATTATAGAAAGAAATGTGCATTAATAGTTTATTTATTCATATAATTTATCACCGTTCTCTGTTGGATTACAGAATATTATTAGTTCAGTGTATGAATTATTGTAATTAAATATTTCAAAAATGACTCACGTGTACGTGTAATAGATTGATTTTGTTTTAACAGACTTTGTCAATCTGTTTTATTTCATTTTATTGTTTTTAATTAACTCAATATATAATGGTAAATAGCATTTAATATAAATAGTGATATACCAAAATAAATTCCATTGAGCATTAATATACATTTACATATGTTGTAGGAAGACTTGACCAACTTTTTAGTGTGTTACTTTAAACTAATGAAACTGAATTTCATGAGTTAAAAGTACCTATAATCTACTCCACTTTTATTCCTTTATGAAAGATTATTGGGTAGAAATAGTTAATTTTACTTTTTTTTCTTTGACATGGTCCTTTTTCACAAAAATGAAATTGTTAGAGTGCAACAAACTAATTTATCGAGTAACAGCATTAACTGTCTATTCATGCAAAAAAGCCTTCCATTTCCTCATGTTCCTAGTTATTATCTGTACACATGCTTTATATTATGCTGAAATCAGAAAAAGATGACTAAACGTTTTATCACAGAGTACAGTAATACCTCGACTTACGCTACCCCGACTTACGCGAACTCGGAGTTACGCGATTTTCAAATCTTGTCGATTCGTCTTTTGTTTGAGCGCCACGCAACTCTTGATTACTCACTCCCCCCACACTATTGTTTAGCTTACATATTCGGACGTGTCGCGCGGAATCGACACATAGCTCCAATTTATTTTGTGTTATTTATTTCTGTGTTTGTTTGATCTACGGAGATTTGAGAGACTATGTGGTGATTTCTTGTAACTGTGAACGAATCAAAAGACGAGATAAGATTAACGAGAACATTTATTAGCTTACATGCATCCGACTTGGATTTTACACACAAATTGCGAAATTATACCCCGACTTA